GGCTAGTTTAAAATTGGGTCCACAAAAGATACGTTACCCATTTACATTTAGCCCTCTAATCATTGCTTTGGAAAGGTTGATCTACTGATTCTCACACTTTGTTATGTGTCAGAATGAATTGGAGGGCATGTAAAGTACAGATTCCTCCCAGAGATTGTGATTTAGTAGATCTGGGATAGGGGCCAATAAATTGCCATTCTACCAAGTTCCCAGGTGACCCTGATGCTCTGTAGTCCCCTAGAAACAGCATAAATCATGGATCAACCCTTCCCATTTGAAGGGAAAAGTTAGAGAAGAAGTTATTATCAATCCAATCAAGGCCACCGATTGTTAAGAGTTTTTGTGGATGTTGCTTTGTTTTCATATCAAACAGTCTCCCTGGAATTTCTTTGCTGATGTGTTTTCCCAGACCCTTTACCTGCTCTTGGGTGGAGGCAAGATTTCCTTATCAGAAGACCATTTGGTAACCAATTAGGTTGTTTCAGTGGAGAGGAATCACTGTAAATTGAATATCCATTGTCTCATAGGAATTGGCAATGTTGCTCCAAAAGAGAGAAAATTCAGATAAAGAAGCTATTTGAATTAGAAATAAAAATGAGTATACTGTACTCTATATTCCCTGTTCTTTGGAGTCTGTGGGTTCTAAGTCTACTGCCTGCAGGCAAATATGTATAACCGTGACAGCAGTTTGAGAAACGTGAGGGTGGGAGAAGATGCAACGTGAATGCCTTAGGGAACAAGAGAGGAATTACAGGTATTGGTGAATAATGTGTAGCTTTCCTATAAAGTGCAATTAATAGTTCAGGCAAACAAGTTTTAAAGTTTGGTGCATCTAGATTCCAGAATCATGGGATTTGATGCTGCATGAAAAGTCTGCGTCTGATTACAGATGAACAGAGGGTACCTTATGGTTTTAGAATAAATCAGATTACACGACCTTCTTTGCTTCTTTCCAGTGGGTCTGTAGTCAGCACCTAAGACTGGTTTGAGAAAATGTCATTGCGAGCTAGGGGTCTGAGGATATTTCTGGAAATCCTTCGATGCCATGTAGATAGTTTTTTTTTTTTTTTTAAAGATTTTATTCATTTATTTGACAGACAGAGATGACAAGCAGGCAGAGAGGCAGGCAGAGAGAGAGGAGGAAGCAGGCTCCCTGCTGAGCAGACAGCCTGATGTGGGGCTCGATCCCAGGACCCTGGGATCATGACCTGAGCCGAAGGCAGAGGCTTAACCCACTGAGCCACCCAGGCACCCCTAGATAGTTTTTTATACATCTTTTTATTTTGCCTATATACCTGCATAATAAGCATAGGAATTGTCATAATCACTTTCGAATGATGTTTTGGTGTCCCTCTTATATGTTTATTACTAGTTTTGCATATTCTGTTTAAAACCACTGAGAAACAATTAGACAGTGGTTTCATTTTTCAACAGTAGATTATATTAAAAATTATTGAATGAGTGTAAAATGAATGTAAAGTGATTTTTAGATCAGCTTCCAACATTTTTATTAAATTGAATTAACATTTATTATATTGACATTTTTAAAATGCCTATTTATTCTAGACTGGCATTTGAGTTAGCTTACTATGATTTTTATATCATAGAACTTAAAATCTTTCTTTCCAAGTCAGTAAAACTGGTTTTATAAATGCCCAAAAAGAAATTTAGTGACATTTCTTCACAGACATTGTTGAGATGATGTGAGAGGAATTATGCAGTAGTCTTAATATTGAAGTTGTTGGTTAATGGAACCATGGTAATCAATATACTTGGGGTGATTTTAATGATGCTTATTTTTCCTCTGAGAAACAAGTGATACCTATTTTATGATAAATGTCCCGTGTCTTTTCACTTGAAACTAACTTTTCATTGTTAAGAGGTGAAAGACAAGACTGCTAATGGAAAAAACAAATAAACAAACACTGAAAAAATGTGGGATGAAATGTAAATAAATCTCAAGTGGAATAACTTGGTCAACATGAGGAAGTCACATTGCATTATTTTATGTGGAATGCCTTTTCCTGGAACCTCTGAGAAATAGGATAATTACTAACTCACTCTTTTGGAGTTTTATTTTATTTTTTATGATGATAAAAGCTGGGAAACTGTTTTTGTCAATTGTGGTTTGAGGGTATGATTTAAATTTAAAATGAAAAAAGATGTCTATTATGTCATTAGTGAGATTATGTTATTCCTCTTACATGTTTATCACTAGTTTTGCATATTCTGTTCAAAAGCACTCTGAAACATTGGGTGGTTCTATTTTTCATCACTAGATCATGTTAAAATTTATTCTGAATCTCTCTGATAATAATCCCCGAACAGGATGGCAGACTTGAGAATGTGATGGGAAGCCTGTTGCGTTAGAGACCACCTGCCCCAGACTAAGCAAGTCCCCTTAGTCATAAATTCATTAATGAGTGCTTTCCTAGCCTTAGTAACCTTCAGCACACCCTTTTTTACTTTCCTTGTGTCTAAAATAGGGAGCTCATTTGTCCTAAATGAGTGGATTTCTTCTTACTATGAGAAGCTATTGTTCAAAAGAACTCTTGCATATTACGGTATAAACAAAATAAAAGGAAGGTTGCAGTGGTTAGGGGAAGAACCTCTTTTAGAGAGTGCTGTGAGTCCACTCCCAGGTTCCACAGCATCCTGAGGGACAGGGAATTTGAACACCATTGTAGCAAAATCTAAGTTTCCCCCCAGGTCCAAAATGCGATGCTCGGGTCCATCATCCCTGAGATAAATTGCCAACTCCACAGGATTTCCATCTCTTGAATTTTATATAATGATTTCTTAACTGAGTCAAAGTTTAGTTGTAATATCAAATGGAATTAAATTTTTTTTTTTGACTGACAGGAACATAGGATTTTCTTGTTTTGACTTAATTCACATGCACTTCGGAATAATTTCTTTTTTAAAAACCTTGTAACTTATCGGTCAGAATATAATTTTTCAAGAGGTAGAAGTTAATCTATGAAAGAAGGACAATTCAGTGCCACTTTCTTCAGCCGTGGGTTATCTGCCTAACGACTCAACAGTCTTCCTCCCTTCCACCCGAACTCTATGTCTCCTTGTTCTCTCTCCCCTGCCCCACACTCTGTGGTTGACCAAGATCCTTCCTTCATCTGATTGTTCTGGGAACCTTGAAACACACTGCTTTTCCCCTTTCCTTCTCTGTTGCTACGAATATGTCAAGAATGACATTCTCCCTGCTGATCTAGTTTAGAAAAGTGAGAAGAGTTCTCAGAACTAGTGGATTATCAATTTTGGGTGTGCCCTTGGGAGTGGCTAGACGCTCCAACCCAGTTTGTGATACAGAATTTATTTCTCATAGAGAAATGGTGCTATAAGCATCCACCAGAGACTATATAATGTTTAGTAGTATACAGTACAGCTCATTTCCTCTACAGGTGAATGCCACAATGTTTGTTGGTCTGGGAGCCTATCCTCTATTATAAATGCTATTTCTGTAGAAAAGTGGGGTCTGTCTTTCAGGTAGAGGTGAATGCAGAATATTCCGAGCTGGGGACTCAGCTTATTTATTGATTGATCTACAGGTGCATATATTATACTCAGTGGTTCTGCGTCTATCCATTAAACAGCGTCCACACTTCTTTTCCTTTTTCTTTTCCACGTTGAATTTAGCCTCAGAGGCTGAAATAGAGGGGACATTTTCAGATCTGAGCTATGTTTTCTTTTTAATTTGATAGAATAGAAACTGGATGCAATAAAATTGAGAGGTGGTACTGAGATCCTGTTAGGGTTTGTGAAATGGACAATTGCCTTACATAAATAGCAAGTAAAAAATCCAGCGAGTTCCTCATAAACATTTTATTCTGGGGTGTGCTTATTTTCTGAAACTACCTCTACTAAATCTCCTGTCAGTCTTGAAACTCGAAGGCAGAAAAGCTTCTAGTGCTACAGCCAACTGCAGTGTAGCCGGAGAAACAGGCAACAAAAATAGAACACCAGGATTGCTGTGCGTGGGTGAGGCAGAAACCACATTATGAGCAAAAGCTTCCAGTATTATTTTAGAACCAATACAGAGCTCTGCACTTCTCTCCTCTCTCTTCCAAAAACACATACTATAAAAATAAAATGAAATTAAATGTATGTGCATTTGCCCTCTTAGAATTATGATTCTTAATTTTTTTTTTTTTGCCTGCCTTTCTTTGGAGGCGAATCTCCCGTGTGGAAATACAGTGTGTAAAGCAAGCTTGGAGGGAGGAAAGAGTTAATTGCTTTTAAGGCCCTGCAATAGAGAATTATGGTTTGAAAGATAGAGGCTGGACAGCTGGGTTTGCTGGGGTATTTTTAAATGCATTAATGCAGGCTCCAATCACTCGGCCATGCTTGACCTATTTTTGGCTCAGGCCGACCATTGTTCTATTTCTGTGCCTGTGGGCCATGCCGTTGTTGATTCATATGCAAATGGATTATCACTAGCTTTAGCCAACTTGAGCTGAGGGAGACCAGAGAGGGGGAAGAGACACACACAAACAGATAGAAGGGCGCCGGCCGAAGCCACTTGCAGGACTGAGGGTTCCTGCCACGAAACTCTAGCAGCCTGAAGAACTAGAAGCCAGGTTTAATTGGTTTCTTTTTCTCGTGGGTAGAGTTAATATTTTTCTACTTATTCTGACAAAGCAATAACCCCGAAGCACATTCCTGTTTCCCACCTGCTTTTAGTTTCCGGGAGAACCTAAACTCCAGAGAGCCATAGCATCCACTCGGTCCTTTCTGCTCTGTACACAGGTTGGTAACATAGGAAAAGTGTCCAGGTCTTTGAGAGAAGTGTATGTCCACCTTAACAGCAAGGAAATCATTGTTGAAGTTGGTCGGCTACTGCCTCTCCTCGGGGAGGAGGGAGGACCAGGGAGGGCAGCTCCTGGGGCCCGTGCACTGAGCAGCGATGAATCTTTCATGTAGCTGAAGTAAGAGTGATTGGAATATGCTGCAGACAATTTACGAGAGTGACTCGTGTTTTTCCTCAGATGGGGTGGCTGGACGAGAGCAGCTCTTGGCTCAGCAGAGAATGCACAGTATGATCAGCTCAGGTAAGCTCCTCTTCCATAACTGAGACATTTTATGTGTGAAAGGAGGCTGACTTGGGAAATGGAGCTAAGAGAAAGCACCTCTCAAGGATTTGTGCTTTTGGTGTTGATGTTGCTGTTTTCCTGGTGCGTCTGTAGGGTTTAACTTAGATCCCTTCCATTACCGTTTCTGTGCATATTCAGTGTTTAGGGATGACAGCTTCTGAATGAAATCTCAAAGCTTCTGGGGAAAGCTGGGACTGAGATAAGTGAAATGTAGTTGGGGGTGCTTTGCCTTACTGTGCAACTAGAAGAAGGAGATCTGTGCTGATGGCAAGGGATTCTAATGGGACTTTTAAAATCAGGTAAGTTCAGAGTGGAGCTTCCTTCAGTTTGGACTGCAGCCTGCGCTAGCCCGATGCTTTTAGATTTACAGTGTGCATCCAGAAACACAGCTCTTTCTAGACCTGCCTTCCAAAATGGGTTTGCTTGGAGTTGCAAAGGTAGTTTTTAATGCGGCTTTCTCTCATCAGCCCCAAATAAAACTATTTAGTGGTGGGATACAATTATTATTAGCAGATGGTTGATATAATTTTCTCGAACAACATTTGGAGAGTCTAGCGTTGTCAGGCAGATGGACGGCATAGCACACACATAAAGGTGTTACATGCAGGTGTGGCCCTTGAAAGAATAACAGTAACAGATTCTTGTTTCCCAGCCGTCTGTACTTTGTGCCTTGAAGGGGATATGCTGGGGAAGATCAAGCTTGTCAGCGTTATCAATTTCTATTTGTGAAAAGAGCAGACTCTCCCGGCCGTATCACTTAGTTGTAATTGTTGCTCTTCATATTTAATCCTACAGCCAGTTCCTAAAGCTTGGGGGCTTTTTAAAATTTCTGTCCTCTTTGGAATGCTTCCGTCTAAATTGGCTTAAAGTTCTCTCTCACGTCTTTTTGAGTTCCTTTGTGGGCTTAATCGTAATTCTAGATCACCACAGAGATCTCCCTGCAAAGAAGGCAACATATAGCAGCGTTTGCTAGGGTAGAGCTAGACGTGAAAGAAATATTCCACAGGTTGGCACGATGTCTGCTCAGTACTGAGCACCTTCCCATTTACAGCTCTATGTCTGAAGCAAGTTTTCTTTTAAACCTCGGTCAGCTGTGATGATTTTAAGATCCTTCTCCTGACCCGATTATTTTCTTGCACTCAGACTAAGAGATCGGTTTTGTGTCATTTGAGATGTTTGTACTTAATGTGACAGGATTTCTATTACTTAGTAGTATCCGCTTTTCTGAAGCAAACGTATGAGGATTTTAATACGGTTTATTTTCTATGGTCATTGTGGCTGTAAAGTTGACAAAAGCTTGGGGAGGGGTCAGCTGGTGGGTCTCAAATGGAACTCGTCGCTTAATTTAGCATTTTGTTTTTTAAATATGGATCGACTTTTTAAAAATAACCAGTTTAGGGATCTTTTCAGTACTACACTTAATCCTTTCAGTCCTTGCCTCTGTGTAGCAAGTTTAATGTTTCTTCCACATGGTAGAAACAAAGCTGTGCCTTTCCAGCAGGGACTGGCTGCTGACACTGAAACTCTTGCCACAGGCTACAGGTGTTTGCAAGCCTCCCTGTTTTCAATGTCTTCGGTAATCACATGTAACTTTACTCCATTTTTCAGTTGAGATTGCCATTTTCCTGATGCTAAGGCAATAATATTTTCAAGCAGGGAAGTACTTCAGACTGTCCATACTGTTGTCGGTTCTACAGGAAGGGAAGCATCCTTTAAGCACCAACTATTAAATGAAAAGTGATGTAGATTGACATCAACTCCCAAACCTGTCTGGTAGAAATAAGAAAACTCCAGGTTCTGTTTATTTTTAAAATTTGAAATATGAAATCATGTGCATCCATACTACCATGTTGTGTAATATTTGATTTTGTTCAATATGATATGACCTTAAATTTAATTCCCCCACTGTTTATTGTGTACTTCCTCTGAGGCGTTGGCTCTCAAACTTGGAGTCATCAAGAGTCTTTTACAAAATACTGAAGCCTCGGTCATACCCCCAGAGTTTCTGACTTAACTGGTATGGGAACTAACCTGAATATCGGAATTTTTAAAATCTTACGAGCAAACCTAAGGTGCAGTAAACTTTGAGTATCACGGACGTATGGGTAGGAGGAAGTGATGGGGATCCTGGTGACCCATTTCACTAGGGTTTTCCTTTAAGTCAATTGCTAAATTTGGGGTGTGTTTGTCTTAATTTATCTACAAATTTCATTCCACCCCCTTTTGGACCAGTGGCATGGGTGTGATTGATAGACCTAGGAATGGATGGAGTCTGCGGATCTGAAAGAGGTATCTGGTAGCTGTGCAGAGTGGTGGAGAGAACGCTATTTGTTCTGGGAGTCAAGAGCTCTGTGTTCTAGCGAAAGCCAGTTGTATAACTGGTTACTCATCTGTAAACTGAACAATAAAGATTTCCTCCTGTTTACCTCTTGGCATTCATATGAGGTTCAGATCTAACAACGTGTTATTAAAGTGCAGGCTCACTATTATTATAACTATATTTTTAGTGAGTGAACCTGGGCTTCTGGCTCTTCAGTACCAAGCCCTATCTTGCCAAACAAACTAGATAGATGAATTTGATGGTATATTACATGGAACAGTGATGTTTTGTTTTGATAATAAGTTTTATTTGGTTATTTTATACATCAGCTACTTTTTTTTTTTTTTTTGGTTTCCCTGGTCTGATAAGAACCAGTCTTTTCCTTGTGCAAATTGTGACTGTAAATCAGAGTAGCTTGTGTGTGTGTGCAAGCGTGCATGCACGTGTGTGCATGAGTATTCTGTAAAATGTCTCATTATGTAATAATCAAACACAAAGAATTTGCAGAATATGTAATTGAACAGTGAAAACCCAATAGCAGATTTCTTGGGATTAATTGTTTTAAAAAGCTTTGTTTTGTTGTCAGCTATTGCTTTGAACTTCCCATTTTCTATTTTAGTTAAACTGGATACTGTGCATTAATAAAGATGATTTTCTTCAGAGTTCTTTATAGACTGTTGAATCGCAAATATTTTTGGTTCCATTTTTTTTTTTCCCGAATATTGACTCAGCTAGGCAAGACATGTTAGGTAGAACTAGGTACTACAGCATAAGCTGCTAATGTGTTTTTAGTTTAAAAGCTCTATAGTATTGAATCTTGGAATTCGTCATGAGTGACCCATTTTGCTAGGTCAGTCTCTACTTTTGTGGCTTGTGTGGGCCAGTATAAGTGATAACTGTGGCAGAAACTGAAGCATGTACAAATATTGACTCAGGTCACTTAGCAGTAGCTGGCAGAATTGGGGGCATTCTCCTTTTGCCAGGCATGTTGCTTAACATGTTGGACAGCAGAACTGTCCAGACAATATTGGAACAATTACTATAAAAGAATTTCCTAGAGCTTGTACAGCATTAATGTAAAATACATTTAAAATAAGGAAAACTCGTATTTTTACTATGTATTCTTATTTTAGGGTATAAAAGAAAAGCATTTAAATCTAAATCCTGAATTTCTTTTATGGAAAACGTATCTTCACCCTTTCGGAATCTTTTTTCCCCCCTTTGGTGTGCATTGTCAAGGGGAAAGGAACATTTTAGATTCAGTAGCCATTTATGTCTACTTGGAAAGCAGAATCTAATTATGAAAATGTAAGTCTGTGAAATGCTCCTGTCATGTCAAGAATCACTTCTGGTATTTCCCATAATTACTGTTTTGCTTGTTCTCTAACTCAAGTTATCTTCACTTACGTGGCTGTTATCAATTTGAATATCTGATAGGTGGTGATCAGAAAGCTGGTTATAAATAGACCCATTGAGGATGGGGACAAGAATGAGTATTTTATATTTCTGTGGACGACACCAGTGGAATAACTGTTTCATCCATTGAGCAAGAAGATTCAATAAAATGCCTCAGAAGACTAAAATAAACCGAAATTCTGAATTTAAAAACAAGGATTTTGATTTTGAAAATGAGAATTTGAAAATACGCTACATAATTTCTCACCTCTGATAGATAATGAAGAGATCCCAGAATGGTCTAAGTTGGCAAACACTCACCCTGCACACGCATGCACATACACACGCGCACGCACACACACGTGCACACGCGCACATGCATGGGTACAATATTCAGCATTAAGTGTGTATGGAAAATGATATGACCTACCATCTCAGAAGCTAATAGTCAAGGAAGAAATGGAACCGGTGGGGGGGTGGGGGTTGATCCAAACAGAGAGACCTAACAGGGCCTGCATCCTAGGCCTCCTAAAAATTCTACTGACAAGATGACGACTTCCTAAAAATTCTCACTAACATTCTCAGATGTGAAGAGAAGTAAACTGAGTAGATAGCCTCAGCTTTTGTGGTCGTTGCTGTTGTTGTTATATCTTGTGAGGTAGAAATAATTGAAATGATTCTGGGAAAGAGACTAGCGAAATGGAGGAATGTGGACAAGTATTGCCTCACTGGAGAAATGAAGGCCTCAGAGCAACAGTCTAAATTGGGAAAACGATCCATAGTTCTCTTCAACAAAATACCCTTCTCCAACTAATCTTAGATGTTCCACAAGAAGAAAACACCAATTTACTGAATCCATGGAATTGTCTAATAATTGCTCCCCACAAATAGAGCTCCTTAATAAGAACATAAATTCCATAAAACAAGAGCTCAGAGATGAGATGATAAAACAATAGCATGAGATGAAAAGGGATATTTTAGATCTAGTGAAACAAATTGAAAATGAAAAAACCATGGTAATTATAGAACAAAAATATTCATTAGAAATAGCAGGAAGCAGAACAGACATCAGTGAAACCCTTTGCCAACAAAGGGGAAAGGTTCAAGACAATCACAGGGAATGAAAAAAGGAAAATGGACCCAAGCAATTGGGGAGAAGTTAATTAATAAGAAAGACAAAGGCAGCATAACAAAGAGATTATTTATATCCCTGAAGCTGATATTCTAAAGCAATGAAACAGAA